TTCTTAATGGATAATAAACAACTTGACAGTAATTTAGTCATAGAATCGTTAATGTTGAATATTTTTTCGTGAAACTTGGTATAGATATATTTCAGAGGACGCCAATTCCAGTGGCGTATGCGGATTTTTTCTGCATTTTTCAGCCTCTAAATGTGATCTAGTAGGCCTTCGTTTTAAAAAAAAACTGGACGCCGCTTGGCTTTAAAATACACCTTTGCCCCCTCCACATTTAAAAAAAATCGTTAAAATGACTCCATAAATAAAAAAATTATGAGGGTGGCCCGCTTTCAAATGGGTCACTCTGTATATAAGCCCTCCACCGGCACCCTGGCGATCCAACCGCACTATATTATACCCATCTATTAATAACTCATCCGATAGAATATTAGGGTTAAGATGAGTTTCTGAAACGGTTGCAATAGAATTTTTTTTTTTTCAAAACAGTGTCTCTTAAATCAACAATTTTTGAGAATAATGAACGAATATTAAAATGACTACTTGTGTATCTATCTATACAAAAAAAAAATAATAATAACAATAAACTTTACCTATATAAAATGTACAAAAATTGGTAAATATATAGAAATGTATTTATACAAAAAAAAAGAAATAGAAAAAGTCAATATACAAGTACTGTACAAAAGATACTCCTTTTTACATTTAATATTTTAAATTTAAGATAACCTGCACAAAGTTAATTTCAGGACCTAAGTTACAGGTGAATAACATTAAATAGCTACCAAATATTCAAATAAAATAAAATAACTAACTGTATTTAATACCCATAGAAAAACAATTTTTTCTTTAAAGAACATAGTTAAATGTAAGCTTCGTTAAGCAATTTTAAATTTTTAAAGGAACAAAAAAAAAGAAAAAAAAAGGATAAATATTATTTATATATCCCAAAAGAAAAAAATAGGAATATGTAACCTAATTTGGCTTGACAAAGTATATAATTAAACCTAACCTAATCAATTTCATTGCTATCAGAGTCTGTGAAATGTGTTATATATAACACACGCATATATGCGTTATGGTTCCGTTAAGATCAACAAGAATTTTACCTTTGTTCGTCCAGCATGATAATCAGGGGGACAAAATCTTGCTATTAATCCTGTATTTCATAACAGATAGATGTGCGACATCATTTTGTAAGGGATGTTGTTTCTAATAATATAGTTGAGTTAAAGTATTTGTCTACTGATATGCCTGCGGATATTTTTACCAAGAGTTTAAACATTATTAGTTTGTTAAATGTTTAGGTTTAGTAGGTATATATATATAGGTATTTTGATTTTTTTTTGATCTAGGGGTGTTGTAATAAAGATCAAAAAAGATAATACAATCTATATAGTAAGGATGCCCTAAAACCTAATAAGATATAGTTTAGTTTTTGATATGAAATAAAAACTTAAAAACTTTCCTTAATACCCACCTCAGTAAATAACATACATATATAACATACATATATAATATATAAATATATGCAAAACGTATGACAGTTTAAATTACAATTTTAATAAAAATTCCAATTTGAAGTTGATTAGTATCAAATTGAATTTGTTTGTTTCCAATTTGACTTTGTTTATTCCCATTTTGAACGTGTTAGTTACCAATTCAAATTTGATTAATTCCAATTTGAAATTGTTACATTCTACATTGAAATTATTAGTTCCAATTTGAAGTTGAAAAGCTATAGTGTGTTTATAATATATTAGCAAAAATCTTTCATTATTGTTATTCGGATTCCACACCTATTTAACGAGTGTGCGAAGTGCGAAGTATCTGAAAAAAGATGCCATAACTAGTTTTCAAACTGAAATACAGTGAAATGGGTTAAAGTTATGAAATAAATCAGAAAGTGTTGTAGTAGTCCTATATATAGTCCAATATATTGTACCAAATTTCTTTATAATTTGGTTATTTCAGAATGGTGTGTTATTTAATTGTGTGCACACAATTTGGTACAATATAGGACTACTACAACACTTTCTGATTTATTTCATAACTTTAACCCATTTCACTGTATGGTTTTTTGTGTTCCTTTATGTAGGCATGTGTAAGTGCATGTGTTAATTTTTTTGTTTACAATTCTCTTCATTTAATTTACAAGAAATACTTTTGTTATAAAAAGGTTTGTAAGAATAAGGTCTTTTTTGAAAATTACAACAATTATGAATGAATTATTGACATAGAATTTTGTTATTAAATCTACAAAATGTCTGTAATAATTACAAACTATAGTTAAGTATACTTATTCAATTAGTTAACAGATTAATCTAATTACAGTTGGTTGTAAATTTAACATTAAGGTTTGTGGACCTGGATTAACATAAAATCTGGTTTATATTTAATTAAAATTAACAAATATTTTTTTACTGTGTATGTTGTGTTATCTACTAATAAATTAAATTTAAAATTTACTCAATTGTTGATACCTACGCTCTCCAGCTCTCCTCTTTACAGGTCACGAAACGCGTCATGTGCACATTGAAAAGCATACTATACACAGTAAAAAAAGATGCTTTCAGTCAAATACTGTAAGTTTAAACCAAAGCATTCATTGTTTTAAATAGCCACAAATAAATCATCTATTAGACTCAAGATAAGTTTATATTTGTGATTTAAATATATCATGATCTTAGAAAAAGTAAATGCGCGCTTTAAATTAAATGCATGTTATGACTTAGTTTAAAACTAATATATTCTTAAATGGAGAAGTTGGGCTTCTTTATGTAAATATATAATGCCTTTGTCGTAAGTATTGGATATTTTTTATAGAAAACTACGATATATTTAATTTAAAAATATATTAAATTTGACGCAAAAATAATGTTTTTTGGTTAAAATTTAACATATGGTTGATTTAAATGTATAATATTTTTGTTGGAAGAAATTCATGCTTTCATATTAAGGCAACGATGTGTTTAATTTAAATAATTTTTATACTTACTTTAAGGTCAAATTTAGATTTAAAGCAAAAATGTAATATTTTTTAATAAATCCTTTTATATAGGCTTTATTTGTACATGTACATTTTGTGTGTAAATAAACATTTTAATTTAAATAAAGCCTATATAAAAGGATTTATTAAAAAATATTACATTTTTGCTTTAAATCTAAATTTGACCTTAAAGTAAGTACCTATAGGTACTTATAGGTACCTATAGGTACTTATATATAAAAAATATTTAAATTAAACACATCGTTGCCTTAATATTAAAGCATGAATTTCTTCCAACAAAAATATTATACATTTAAATCATGTATACATAATGTAGTTTAAAATAATGTAATAAGTTAATTTAAGTAAACATGTACCTTATACACTTACATATATAAATATAGTAATATTATATTAGTTAAAATAAGCATTTAAGTTAATCCTTCTTTGCAGAATTAATTTAAAAACATTACATTTTTGCCTACAGTCTATAGACTACTATAGTAGATTAAGTCTACAGTAGAAAACAGCTTTAAATTCCTTTAGCTTGGATATATTACCATGATTTAAATTGTTTAAGAACTCCACTAAGTGGGTATGTTTTATTTTTTAAAATAAAGAAATAATACATTAAATAATTAAAAATCCATATTTATTTAATTATAATTATTTTGGTACAAATAATATAAATTTACAAGAGCATCATGAAACTAATCCTAAAATAACAAAAAATAAACATTCGCATATAAAATGAAACAAAAGATAAACCTTCGTATTTAAAATTAAACAAAAATAAACAATACGGTATCTTATAAAATATAAGATAGTATCTTAAAGATACCATATTTTAAATCTAACATATTACGATATTAATAATAATAATTTTAAAAGCAAAACAATAACAATACACATATTACTATTATTAATAACATATTACCTAACATTAAAAACGGGGATTAGATCTTCCAAATTACATTGTTCTAATAGTTCTTCCATATTTTTGCACAAACTTTTATAAACTACACCAGAGGAAACACATAAACGAAATGGCGGCTAAAAAGAATACCGGCACCGATACCGAAGCGAAACAGTTTCTGGTAACCCATTGGTTCCATAAGTCACGTGCTACTAAAATCTCGCGATAAAATATTTTAAACATACCATATATTTAAAATAAAATTATATTTTTAAATCAATTATACATATTATTTGTTTGAAGAATTATAATTTTAGTTTAAAACAAAAATATTACTTTGACTTGAAACTCTTGGTATTTTAGTATAAAATAAATCATATACTTAAATCAAAAATAAAATTGTATTAGATTAAATAACTTTATATTCTTAAAATCGAAGAAAAATATTACTTAAATCAAATATTTCAATATTTAGCTAAAGAAGCTTTTATTTGATAACGAAGATTTTTTATTTCTTGGAAAAAGAAAATTGCAAAGCTTAATTGAATAGGTCAATGCAGAAACTGAATATGTCCACTTTTTAGGGCTATTGAGTTAAACATGGATTTACTATAAGTAAAGGGAGCCCGATCGAATGGCGTAGAAATTTCACATGTCACGGTAATCTAGAATATACAAAGGCGTTAATATAGTAGAGAAACTGAATATGTCCAGAACATATGTCCACTTTCTGTTCAGTTTTTCTTATTTATCTCAAAACTAGATAGGTAGGACATATTCAGTTTCTGCATTGACGTATTCAATTGAAAGATATATTTTTAAACTAAATAATTGATTATTTCACTCAAAAATATATTTCCAATTATAGCAATTTTCTTAAATTAAGAATATTAGTTTTTACTGTGTAGTATAGGGTATACCCTGTATGTACAAAAATAAGTAATATAGGGCAAAATATTATTTTAATTGTTTAAAACAATAAGAAAATATAGTTTGTCCTTTAATACTTATTATTGCAGATAAGGGGGTTTAGCTTAGCACGGCACACAATATGTACTATGCTCCACATATATTATACCTATGTATGTCAGTATACTAAACAGTGTTTAGTAAACGTTGTTGTATTTTACTATGTTTCAGATATATGAACAACTGGACCAGACAGGGTCAGTTTATAGTACAAAAACTGTTGCTGCACAAAAACAACGAAGCAATAACTTTGAGAAAACTGAAGTCAGTGCTTAAAGAGCGACAATTATTGGCGGAAAACATTCACGCCGTCGATTTCGATCAACTGACGATAGAAAATAAGAATTTAAAGACAAAAATCGACCAACGAAGCAAATTCGTTAAGGAATTAAAAAAACTAAACGGTTGGGCTAATGTTATTTTGAGCAACTCCAGGTACTTTTTGCAGAGCCAGTTTAACGATATTAGCCAATTTAAGTTTTTGAAAGAGCAGTCGGAAAATCGGCGGGAAAATATTGACAAGGAATCTGTGAAAGTACAGGGCGAAATAGAAGATGCCAAGAAGAAATACGAAGAATGTAAAAGTATAAAGGAAAATTATATTGTATGTCAAAAATACCATTTTAGATTTTTTATTTTCATAAGCTTCTAGATGCCAGATACAATGGAGTACGTGGCAGCGAAATCAAATCTGAGAAACACATATAAAAAATTAAAAGTTGTAGAAAGACAACAACAAATTTTGGACGTAAATTTGACCATAAACTTTTGTTTATTGCATAATTAATTAAAATATTTCTAGATTGCTTTAAACGCTTGCACGGGCCAAATGAAAAGCATACTAAAAACGAAAAAAATCGACACCAAATGGTTTGAGTAAGTTATAAATGTTACAAATAATACAAAATTTTAATTTATTTGTGTTTAGGAGTTATAAAATAAGCGATAATCCATCGTTTAGCGAATTTAGTGATGGTGAATTTAAAATGTAATAAAGTTATATACCCAACTTAAAATAAAATGACTGATTTCCCCATTCATTTAAAAAATTCTGCCCTGCACTTTATTGAAAAAACCTTTAAAATATCAATACCGTAAACTTGGGTAAATTAGATTCACTGTAACTTTTTACAGGATAGAGATAATTACTTGTTCTTGGTGTCATTTATAGGTGCTAGTATGTCAGATCTTAAAACTTTGCAACTTTCAAAAGTAAAAAAAGGGTGGCCAAAGTTATAAGACAAAGTTGAGTCACTTTGGCCACCCTTGTTTTTTTGAATGAAAATGCAAAGATAACCCAGATAATAGTCGACTTTGGCCACCATTGTGTATTAGTATGGTATAGTATATTATAATATATTTATTTTAAAATGTTGCGAGTAAAAATTCCAACAAAAATAACTCGACAAAAACAACTATAAAATACGACGTTGACTATATAGACTAGAGCTAGTAGCTCTACAATTAATGTTTTATACAGTATGACCTTTTTTCATAATTTGTTAAGCCTTGTTACAAAAAAAAAATAAAAATATAAGCTTATATGTAGGTACTAATCATTTTTATATTCACTATAGTGTATAAAAACATAAAAAATTGAAAAATGATACCTAGTAAGCACCAAACACTCGGCAAACAGTCAGCCACCGTTCGGTATGGGCTGTAGACCTGTGCACAGTGGTCCCAAGCGCCCAAAAAGCTGGCAAAAAAAATCAAATCGTGAGTGAAAATGAAAGTAAATTTCTTTAGTTTTTTTTGGACAAGGAATCCGAACCAGCATTAAAATTTACAAAAACAAAATGGCCAACACAAAATGGCGGACAAATTTGACAAAAATTGTGCTATCCAGAAATCCAAATCAGATTTAAAAATGTCCAAAAACAAAATAAACGTTACAAAATGGCGGACAAATTTTTACAAAAATTTTCCATTGTCAAGGAAATCGAAAAAGGCGATTTTCCAAAATTTTTATTTACCATCTTAAATGAGTGACGCATCTTAAAATTTGTCAAGTTTGGTATCATTTTTCATTTAATACCCATGTCAATGATGTTGTAAAGAAATATGTAATGCCCCATCTTAAAGCGATCGTCATATTGAATTTAGAATAATGGGTCAGACTCTTTGAATAAAAAACCTCAGGAAGGAGTAAATGATAGAAAATAGCTGACCGCACAGGGAGCTAACCAATTGGTCGCCACAAATGGTGGACTATCGTTTCCGCCAGCTATAACCAATAACCAATTGGTCGCCACAAATGGCGGACCATCGTTTCCGCCAGCTATAACGTTTAATTCTTTGCAAGGTTTAATTATTAAACAACAGAAACGCATAGAACAAACCATAAGCGCTATTAAACAACAAAAAAACGCTATTAAACCAAAAACGCTCAAACAGGTAAGTAAACAAACACAAACTGTCAACTGTCAGAAAAAATGACTCATAATCGGACTCCTAAAATGGCGACTTCCTTCGTAAATTTATTACATTAACGAGATTCGGCAGGGTCCTTCCTGAGGTTTTTTATTCAAAGGTCAGAGTGGGGCAAAAGCCTAAAAGGTTGGCATTAAATCTTTTGTTGGTTATTTAGATACGAAATACATGCTCTCTAAAAAAGGAATTAGTCAAAAATGACTAATTTAATAGTTATTAGTGGCTGCTTTTTCACTTGTTCCATGGTTAACCATGGAATAACATGGTATCCCAAAATTTAACAGCCAATTCTTATGAAAAATTGTCCCCTGAATCCGAAAATATTAAAAGTTAAAAAAGAAGAACAGTTTTTGAGATAAAGTCAATTTTCGATTTAATATGGAATACTATATCTCAAAAACTGCTCCACTTTCATAATTTTTGACGGTATTTTCGGATTCAGGGTACAATTTTACATAAGAATTGGCTGTTAAATTTTGGGATACCCTTTTATTCCATGGTTAACCATGGTACAAGTAAAAAAGCAGCCACTAATAACTATTAAATTAGTCATTTTTGACTAATTCATTTTTGGAGAGTGTAGAAAAAATATATTATATATATACAGGGTGTCCGGAAATTAGTACACTATACTTTTACAGCAGATTCTACGTGCAAAAATAAGAAAAAAAGTCCCTATAAACATAGTTTAAGAAATGCCTCTTAAAGGAGATACAGTCCCCAAAAGGAAAGCCCTGAAGATTATTCAAGATATTTAATATCTCCATAACCGTTAAAGATAGAAAAGTGAAATTTGGCCAATTAATTTCATGAGGTTTGGGTCAGATTGATAGGAAGTGGGGTTAAAACCACCTTATTTTTTTTGTACGTATCTTGTACCAGAATTTGATGTCAGATTATGAAATTTTTGAGTTTTGCACATTAAAAAGGTCATCTTGTTAAACTTTGATAACATACACCGTTTTCACTTATAATCGATTTGAAAATTATTTTTCTTACTACCTCGACTCAAAATACGTTGTTTCGTCCCCGATTCCACGGCAGAAAGTTTACGTTTCTTGCATTGGTCAAGCTACACGCGCACACTCTAATAGCGGGAGTAAAAATTTTTTAGTTGTGTGCTTAACATTCAAATTTCGTACTGCCAACATGAGAAACACAAAAATATGACAGTTTTAAACCATAATTTTGCAATTATAACAACAAATAAACAATTTATGTTTTTACTTTTTTACTTTTTATGTTGTTTTAAGTGTTTAATAGTACTTTTATTTGTTATAAAGTAGTAATTTGTTAATTAAAATACAACGTTTTATTTTTACTGTATTGGCACCGCTGAATTCACGGCCTACTGTTATTTATTTATCAAGCTCTTCAAATGGAGATAGGTACATAAATACACATTTAATTTTTTCCCGTATTTTCGGCCGGGTTGTATTTTCGGCCGAGGTAGTAAGAAAAATAGTATACTCTACACGGGCATCATGGCGCGCAGTGCAGGAATCTCACACTTTCTGCCCTTGTAGTGTAATATACTATTACATGGCATAAAAATTCAGAATTAAATCACAACCATAGAAATGGACTCGCGTGGTCCTTGGAATACGGCTGCCATGTTTAGGAAAAAAATAGAATAATTCAAGACAGGTAACAGTTTCATGTAGTAAGTGACAGGGTGTTTCTACTTTTTTATATATATTAGATAAAAACCATATTTAGAAACAATAGGTTTTCTACTTTACGCCAGTAGGTGGCAACCAATATTGCAAAGGCTGAAATGACGTCCATCTCGCCACCGAGCCGGGCTCGAAGCGCGTCTCCGAATTTGTTCTTCGTACAGCTTTAGGATTGTCTACAGCCCAAACATGTGTATTGCAAAAATTATTTATTCCATTGCGGGTAAACATGGCTTCATCCGTCACCAAAATCCATCCTTTTTTTTCTTTGGCCGGCGGAGAAATTCTTTACGAACACTCGGTTCCTCTTGGGGCCCCGAGTAGTGTGGGACTCCGTCTATTGACGTATACCCACTAAAACTCCCACGTTAGGTGGTTCAAAGCCCTGCACTGCGGTTTGCTTTCGCAATCCTATTGTGCCCTAAATGGTATTACTTCCATAGCTCTAGCTCCGTTGCTTCTAAGAAGCGCAGTAGCCGAGGCAGTGGGAGCAATTTTAAAAGTTCTGGTGTGAATTTAGACTCTCCCAGGTGTGTTCCTCTGAAGGTGTTGAATCCCTCACATTGACACATAATGTGAAGAGGTGTTTCCTCTTCTTCTTCGCAACCTCTACACAAAGGGTCATCTATCATCCCCATTATGTGAAGGTGTTTTTTGAATGGAGCATGGCCTGTGAGAAGACCTAATGCTTTATTTAGTTGGGTCCTGGTATATGTCCTCATTGGTTTCTTCCCTTCAGCAGATGGATTGTTCAAAAGTGCTTTCGAATGCTCCAGATCAGACAGGCTTGTGTTGTAGTTCTCTCCAGTCAATTAGTTTTTTCCTGGACGATTCTTGGCTGGTGCCGCATGTGGGTTTCGGCCCCATTAGCATGGTTTCGGCTTTATCAGCTGCGAAGTTTGGCTTCCACCTCATCGAACGGTTTCTGCCTTCTTCTTTCACTAGGATCATAGTTATCTGGTTTTGTGCTTCGGTTAATGCCGTCATATCTCTCAGACATTCTAGTACGGCCTTCGAATTGATTTTAAATGCCTCCAGTGCCTGGATTGGTTCTGGTTCGTGTGTAATGATGGTGAGCAACTTCTCCGTGGGATTGCTCTCCCTCATTCGTTGGAAACCCAGCTGTATGGCAATGATGCCCGCTTGAAGATCAGTTATCTCTTTTCCCAGGTTTAGTATTTCTTGACTGCCCTGTTGAGACACCTCTTTTATGCCCGCAGAAACACCGGTCTTTCAACGTTTGTGTTCTACGTACCAGATTAGGTTTCCTTCTTGTCGGGCAATCTGGTTGTTCATCTCCTCAGCCTTTATCATTTTTTAAATAAAAGCTTTATTGAAGTGTTTGGCCTTGGCTTTGTCTGTTCTAATGGCTAGACTGCCAGTATTTTCTAGCTCTTCAAATATAGCATTATGTCTGATGTTGGAAATAATTTCGGCATTATTTGAGATTAGTCGTTGGGCTCCCGCCAACGCTTCAGCTTTAATCTGAATGTGTAGAGGGGCGAGTCCTAGTATGTTCTCCATGGCTGCGGTCGGTGTAGTTGTCATTGCACCAGTTATTCCCAAGCACGCCAGTCTTTGGATTCTGCTGAGTATCTGTTTTACAGTCCTTGTTTTTGTTGCGCCACCTAGGTAATTATGGGTCTGACCATAGCTGTGTACACCCATTGTACCATGCCTGGTGACAGTCCCCAAGATTTTCCAAATGTTCTTTTACGTTGTTATGTTTTCTATATGCTTCCGATAGGTGAGTTTTTTATTCAGTATTACTCCTAGATATTTAACCTTGTCTATCAAGGGCAGCGTTTTCCCGTAGAAGATTAGATTTCTCACTGGATCCAAGTTTCTTTTACGAGAAAAGGCAATAAGAGAAGTTTTTGTGGGATTTACCCGAAGTCCCTTCTCA